TCCTGGATTCCCTGTGTTTCCAGCCGTTATCTGTAGCAGTGTGCATGCTCTGATCTAATTCGATCTGTAAGGAACAATTGAGGGCATGATAGTGGAGTGAAGGAAGCACCAAGGAACTAGAGGAAAGTTGTGTGTTTCATTGGTGCTATACTGCACCCTGACTGGCTCGTCTTTTACCTGTGACCCTTCTGTGAGGGGATGCCCAATTGTCTATAGATGGGCATTGGGTCTCCACTCCATGACCCCCTTCTCCCCCATTCACCTTGGGTATGGTTTTGTTCTGGGTCTTAAATGCCTGACACCTAATCGCATCGATACCTCATGATCACACAGGCTGGTGTGCTTCTTCCATGTGGGCTTTGTTGCTTCTCAGCTAGATGGCTGCCTGTTTACCTCCAAGCTTATAAGACCCCAGACACACTCTCTTTTGATAGCCGGGCACCATCAGATTTCTTCACCACATTTGCTTATGCACCTGTTTGTCTTCAGCGATCCTGTTGGTTAGGTGAGCATCATGGAATGCTGTGTTGTTAGAATAAAGTGTTCTTTAAGGCAGACTCTTTTTTTACCTGTTAAGTTAAACTATTATTCAATTTCAAGATGATTTCAGGAAAATTTTTTGGTGTAAGGTTTAAAGATTATCTCAGGGCAATAGTGTCTAAGGTTTGTCCACCATTCATGGCTTCAAAAAATCTAGAGTCCCTGAGACTTTGAAATTCTGTTATGCATTCTCCTCATCTCCCCTTTCTCCATCTTCTATGAAATTGTTCATCAAAATGTTCTGTTCAGTAATGGTAAATGGGCACCACGTAGTTCTAACGGCTTCATAGCAGCAATAAGCCACATGTTCCGTTGTAATGCCATCAAGCTCCTTCTGACTCATACAGACCTTATAGGGACAGGGTAGAACTGCCCCTGTGAGTTTTAGAGACTGACTGTTTATGGAAGGAGAAAACCCCATCTTTCTCTAGAGTCGCTGCTGGTGGTTTTGGATTGCTGACCTTATGGTTAGCAGTCCAACTAACCACTGTGCTACCAGGGCTGCAATATACATTCTTTCTCGTATTATTGATGTCCTTCCTTTCTTGCTCCAGGTGAATATAGAGATCAAGGGTGCCTTGAATGGCCACTTGTAAATTTTTAAGACCCGTAGACATTGTGCAAGAACTAGAAGTTGGAACAGAAGCATTAACCATATTGTTGAGCCAGTTAACTGGGATTTTGCATAACACCAAACCCCTAAATCTCCAAATCCTATGTGATGATTGATGTACATAGATAGTTCCAGCAGTTATTCTTTTTTTTTTAATTAGTTTTTTATGTTGCAACCTCATGATTTGAGGGGTGAGGCATTGTAATTTGAATCCAGGTTTATAGAGCAAACTAGTTTGCCATTCAAAAGTTCATATGAGGATGCTTCAAAAAAAAAGTTAATGGAAATATAATTAAAAGATCATGGAATTTTTCCATGACCTTTTGGAAGGGACCTTTGTACATATTTTGTTTTATAAAATTTAGTAGAAACCCTCAGTGTAACAGCAGCCTTCCTACTTCCTACTTCTGTAGGAAGTTTCCATTCATGCATCTTTGTGTTCTGAATGTTATTCTTGGTCTCGTAAGGTTGGGTGTTCACTACAGACCTGTCGTTTTGCATGAAAGGTGATCTCTGGGAGTAAGTTCATTTCCAAGTTTGAAGGATGTCTAAGGCCAAGGTCTCCGAGGATTTCACCAGTTTGTCAGACTAGTATTATGTTGAGGGTTTTTTTTGCCCAACAGTTTTTTTGGCTTTTAATTAACATAGATTACAATTCAGTAGTTCAATCATATCAAGAAGAGTTATATAGTCACATATTACAATCAGTTATTTTTGTTTTGGTCTATTTTTTTCTCCCACTCTCCAGGAATAGCTGTTGTGACCATGATCAGAGCACTTGGTAATAATAGGAGGGCGGGCACCATTCTAGTTCTACTGTGGTTTGCATGATCCATTGGTTCTCTGAACTAATTTATTTATTTTTTGAGCCTTTGATTGTCTTTACTCCTTTGTGGTCTGGTTGGACTAATAGTTCCATCATAGATGGCCAATTGTAAGTTTCTAATACAGTACTACATTCTCTACTCACTGAAATGAGATGTAGAACATTATTTTTTGAACTTTGTGAAACCAGTTGACCTAGATGGCCCCCCAAGACTGTGGTCCTATACCCTCAAGCGACTCGGTCCTTAAGCGTGGTTATGGAAAGAATTCTATCATTCCATCAAGTCTTAAATTTCTCATTGTTTTGAATGGCAGAGAAGCAAACCTGAGGCTCTGACCGATCATTAGTCTGTGACTAAAGAGACACCTGAAGTTTCTATAATTTTCCCACCTGTGTGCTCTATAATTTACCTAGATACATTCTTACAAGGACATACAAATATGGATATGGAAATATCCTAAACCTATATATAAGCATATGGGTTCAATGGAGCAATATTCATCACTCAGAAATGTAGATATTTTTGCTTTAACTTGTGACTGGAAAACCAATAAATCAAATAGCCTGATGTTACTTTGTATTTAAACACTATTGTTCAAATTAACTTCCCCTTATTCTACATAGGATGTGAAGTCCAGAAAGGAAAGGACTGGTAGTATCCAGTGTCTAGAGCACTGCCTGGCATGTAGTAGGTGCCCAGTAAGTAAGAGCTTTGTTGAATAAATGAACAATTAATGATGCATGAGATAAGGAAAGATAAATTGTTGGCAATGCTGGCACGGCCTTGGCAATACTTTGGCATCGGGGACGCCAGAGATGAGGCTGAAAAGACAGCCTAGTGGGTGGTTAGCCCGATGACAAAGGCAGGAGAAAGCTGCTGGGTGGTGGTGGGTAGTAAACCTGTGGCAGCAGGCAGGTCTCTTTATAGTCACAGGCTAATGGCAGGTCAGAGCCTCAGGTTTGCTTCTCTGCCCATCAAAACAATGAGAAATTTAAGACTTGTTGGAATGATAAAATTCTTGCCAACATCTGATAAGTGGTTAATTAGCAAGGAAACCTGGTAGGGTAGGAGAATGGAAGAGCTGTTTGTATTTGCCATCTGGATAGGTGTGTACAGAAAGACCAGGTTTCAGTTTTGTAGCAGTCATTGGGATTTTCCTTACTTTGGCCAGCAGACAAGACTGTGAGCCCTTGGAGGTGCTCTGGATTTAGGAGATCTGGGGAAAGGAGTTTCGAGGCTGTAACCTAGGAGGTTACAAGAATAAACTGCAAGGATGTGTGCCGTAGAATTTTGAAAGAATGAGTTCTGGAAAGCAGTACATAGATTTGTTCTCTTTATTAACTAAATGTCAACGTGTTCTTCAATCTTACTGAATACTAATTTCCTCTAGATTAAAGTCTAATCCTGTTAGTATTTTTATGAGTAGGATTTATTGGCTCTTCACACTGTTGATTATTTGTCTCTGGTCTAGGTCATGAGTTTGTTACTTAGGTGTACTGTATATACTCGAGTGTAAACTGAGTTTCTTAAGCATATTTTTAATGCAGTTTTTGTGGTAAAATTAGGCTGATATCGGGTCAGCTTATACTCAAGTATATATGGTATTTAGTTTACTCAGCAAAATCTTAGCAGTGTTAGATACATAAAGAGTTCACAGTCCAGTGGGGTAAATTGACATAAAAACAGATAAAATGAGATGAATGTAAGAGGAGACTTGCCTGACTTACACAAAGGAACAATAGCTAACCTTGTGTGAGAAAATTTGGCCTAAAAGAATGAATAGAGTTGGGTGGTGCTGCTGCTGAGGGTTCGTGTGTGGGTGGGCCAGGTGATGAATACAGATATCATGGTCCATGTGCAAACTGTGGCTTGCAGAGAAAGTTACCGTGGTTAACCCACACCTGAGACGCTCATCTTCTCCCGAGGGTGGGAAGTGAACCAGCAGCCCCAGATAGTGACATGGGAGAATCAGGAAGGCTGTGTACCTTGACACCAAAGAGTATTTGCTACAGACGGGATCACTGAAGCCCAAAGACAAAGTTTCCTGTATACTGTACTTGTGAATGAAGTTATCCTGAGATCTGTGGATAACATGGATAAGCTCCCTTGTTATCTTCACACAACAGTTGAATTAATGTTACATTATGGATCCCTAGCAGTATAGGGGAAATGAGTATATTGTTTGCTGTTAAACTCAGCCCTAGAGGTTACTCCTAGGTGCTGGGCACATACAGGCCTCTCACGAAAGAGTTAATCCCATATATGTTAATGCAGGCAGAAAGAGTGTCTTTGGATTATTGAGATTTTAAGTACCTTTCTACCTACCTTTTTAGTGATAGGAATGAATGGTAAAGCTTTTAATCAGCTACAAATGAGGATCGTGACTTTATACCTGAGCTTGCTGATCTTGAAACATGCTTTTGCTATTTGTTTTAGATGACACTTTTGATTTGTGGGCATATTAATGTTTAGATCAGGGAATGTTTAGACAATTGGAATTTAAGGGTTGTATTTGTGTATGTGCTTTGAGGGGTAGGAGTATTTTAACTTGACATGTATTAAGTTTAAACCTGCAAGAAATGATGGCTGGGGAATCATATGGGAATTCCCTCTGCAACTATGGGGGTGGGCGGTGGGGAGTTTTAAACACTTAGCCCCACAGATGTTACATTTTTTCTTTCTTTCATTTCCTGTGTGCTTGTCCAGGGTGAATTATGGGGCTTGTGACATTGTCTTGCATAATGCAAACTCTAGCGCCTGAAATATAGCCAGTGGAAGATCAGGTTACAAGAAGGGAGGTTTTAGCTTTCCACACCCCCAGCCTTTATTGCAGTGGATTGTGTGGATGAAAATGAGATAGACACATATGTACACAGACACCCCTGTCAAACCAGAGCACTGTATGAGAGAAGCTTATGTCCATTGGAAGTTGAGAACTGAACTACATCTTTTACTGCTAAGTCTCTAGCTCCACTTAGGCAGTCATTTTATCAAGGCCTTTTTATTTCCTCTAATTCCAGGTTTGCTACCTGGCTACAAACTGGAGAAGCTGGTGGCACTGCCAGTGTTGTGTTGAGGTGTTGGTGTCTGTCTAGGACCCAGTGCAAGTCACTCTTTGTTTAAATCAGGTAAGTGCCGTGGGTTGGGGGGATTCCTAATGGAACTTCTGGTTACTTGTTACAGTGTTTTAGTTCATCGAATTGAAATCAATTAAGTAGCTTTTTTCTCTGATGCCCTTCTAAATTGAAGAGTCAGCAAATATCCCTCCCCCCCCCTTTATTTTAATTAAGTGTATTCATTTGGAAGTATTTAAGATCATCTGTAAACTTGGCTTACATACGTAATCAGCTAATGTTTTGGTTTACAGTGTTTACCTACAGGAGAGCTTAAACAAGTTTGCAGAAAAATCCCATTTTAATTCCCCTTTTCATAAAGTGAAACCTGCTCAGCTCAAATGTTATTCGCATATGCATTTGTGCGTAATCTCTTTTTGTAGACACCCCACCACCACCACCAGTTTCCCCCCAACAATGATTTCTGTGAAGGACATGAATACATTCTTATACACATTTGATCTCTTCCCCATAGTACAGTCTTGACTTTTAAAAGTTTCACATATTTGTAATGTTCAGTTTTGATGTTATATAAATACATGTACCCAAAATTCTGTGTTGACATATCAAACTGCTGTCCAGGCTTTTTATTGGGGTGGGGGTGTGGCTGCGAGGTCAGGCAATGGCAGCTTTCCCTGTCTTTATTTCCAGTCCTTGGAAGCAGTAACTCTCAACTCTAGAGGTTTCTTTTGTTAGCCCCTTTCTGAATTCACAGTCGCCGCTTACTGATGGTCCATTTCTTTAATGCTCCTTTACTATGCTGGGTAGTGGGTGTTTGTAATGGATTTTCCCAGCTACCTCACTCCGCTCACATTTGGTTAGTGCAATGTTCACTGTTGAAAATATCATGGTTGTGTTCAAAGGTAACATCTCAGAAAAGTTTATCATTTGGGACATCTTTCATCTTCCCTTTGGGACTATTCTGGTTATTAATTACTGTAAAATTATCACTCAGATCTGTGTTTTTATTTTGCTGGATTTTCTGTCTTTCTTAGTAATTCATCTTCAGAGTCTAGCTAGAAGGATCAGTTTTCCAAATTATATTCCAGCACACCTCTGTGCACATTTGTTTCGTCGTCTTTGAGATGCCTCTTCAGATCCACTGTCTAAGGTGTGTGCACCACACTATTATTAAGAGTTCCCCTTATCGAATATCTGAAAACTGAGCTGTGGCATTGGACACAATTCCAGGCCTGAAGTGTGTCTTAAGAGCCGTAGGTCAGTAGTCTCTGTCCACCAGTAAACCTGTTGTCTTTATGATTTTGTTCCCCTTTTTTACACCACTCTATTCAGGACCTTCTAATGTGATCCTTTTCAGAACAGTTGGTAGTGGTAGCTCACATGCTTAGTTTTTGTGGTCTCAGGGTTGTGGAGACTGAAATTTACATGGGCTGTTTGTAAATTTCCATGTCTTTCAATTTTCATCACTCTTTACTCCTGATTGGTAATCATCTTAGGTAATTAATTGCTCACTAGCTTTTAACTACTCATTAGTCATATTATTCGACACTAGATTGTATCATGCTTCCTGAGCCTTTGTTAATATTAGGCTCTCAGGTCTGGTCTGCCCTCATTTACTAGTGCCTGGTGTAGTCCAGCTACGTACAGTGGTTCTCAACCTTCCTAATGCCGTGACCCTTTAATACAATTCCTCGTATTGTGGTGACCCCCCCCAACCATAAAATTATTTCCATTGCTACTTCATAACTGTAATTTTGCTATTGTTATGAATCGGGCGACTCCTGTGAAAGGATTGTTCGAGCCCCATAGGGGTCACAACCCACAGGTTGAGAACCGCTGAGCTAGGAAGAACCTGAGAACAAAGGTCAGGTTTCTTTTTGTAAGGTGATAACACACCCACCCACCACCACCATTCCTTCCATCTCCTCTTCACACTTTTGTGTGATAACCTTGTGAGAAAGTAATTTGATCTTTTTTTTTTTTGTCTTTTTTAACATTTTATTAGGGGGTTAATTTGATCTTTAAAAGACCAGTGTCTATGAAAAGATGAGACCACTTATTCCTAATAAGATAATCGTAGCTATGGTTTATGTGGACCTCCGTGTAAACAGTAGAAGCGTGTATGGTCACCTGATGAGCACTGTTCCCATGATCAAGAATGACTGCAGACTTATTTTTTGAAATCTTTAGTGTACACAGTCTGCTGGCTGAACCCCTTTCCAGACTGCTGAATATGGATCTTGATGGACATGTTTTTTAAAGCTTTTGTAGGTGTTTGCAGTGCATACCATTTGTTCAGTCCAAAGTCGTGGGAATAATGTCAATTTTTAAATTAATGAAATGTCACTGTTGACTTCCTAATTTAGTTTCAGAACGGGTTTTCCTTACATCTAGAATCTAGGCTAGATAGTATCTTTATTAAGTTAGAAAGCTGAGGTTTCAAACAAAAAACGAGATCTCATTTCCCAGTGATCATATAAACCCATTTAAAATGGTGTTAATTGCTGTTACTCTACTTTGGGGACATGAGGGGATCCTCTGGGGAGACAGGAAGATTCTCTAAGCTGCTGACAATACTATTTTTATTTCTCTAATGATGACAGATTAATTGCATAGATGATTTTAAGTTCAGTAGGCACTCGCATTAAAATGCAGGAGGATATACCACAAATTATATACACTGGGGATATAGTAATGAAAAAGTTCCAATTAATGGTCCCGCAGCCTACCAGCATCCCCGCTAACATCATAACAAAGGAACTTGTTTTCTAGAGGTCACGACCTGGAGAATATAGAATATGACCTTTGTCTGCCTTCTAGTGTCGCTTTTCATTTCAGCATAGGCCAGTCTAGCTAGGGAAAGTAGCTGAATTATCTATTCTAGATATACACTTAAAGGGAAGAAAATAGACTTGTTGAAACCCAGGGACCTTCCCAAAACACAGTGAACCCTCGTTTATCGCGGTCAATCGGTTCTAGACCCTACCGTGATAAATGAAATTCCGCGAAGTAGGATTCCTTATTTGTAAATCAATATTTTCGTAGTTAGAGCATAGAGGACATGAAAAAACACCCTTTAATCACCATTACACTCGTATTACCCAATTTATTAAACGAAAAAGGGAAAATACAGTAAAACATTTTGGACGTTACAATTATCATTTATTATTTATTATATTATTTATGGCATCAAGCGTGTACAGTATGAGCCAATCAGTGGCAGTAATGACAGAGCATGCGCTGTTAAACAAAAACCGTGATAGAGGGAAGCCGCGGAAGTCGAAGCGCAGTGGTGAGGGTTCGCTGTGCTCCCTTTCTCGCTGTGGGACTGCAGCTGACTTTAGCTTAAGTTATAGATACTATAGATCTCTGCTAGATGCTCCACCTTTATGACTTCGTGAGATGAATCACACTACTTCCATTTTACACATCAGCAGACAGTGGTAAATGAATGTCCAGCTGATGGGTGATAGCCAGAATTTGACCCACTTCTTTTTCTAGTAAAGCCACTGCTCAATGCAGAATCTGGCCATCCATTTAAGAACAGGACGTTTGAGATGGATAATAAGCTTCAGCATATAACTCTGCTTAATAGAAGCACCTGTCTTTGTGCCCATGAAATGTAACATTAAAAACACAATGAGAACTGGCTGTTTGTTACAGGAGTGAGGGTGGAGTGAGGGTAGGGAGGATATGGATAGGTTCCTTTTCCATGAAGCAGGGATCTTCCAGTTATTTGTGTCCTGTGGAAGTTACTTTTAACTTCCTGTGGAAGTTACTTATAGTTTTGTGCTGCTTCACTGTTCTTCAAAACGAAAGAAAACCTCCACAGTCTTACTATGAGCCTTAAAAATATTTTAAAATGTATTTTTCAATCTGTAATTATAAGAGGACAGAGAATTTGTCCTTCTTATTAACTACTTATAATACAAAGCCTGACATAGAGTAAAGTACTCAATAAATATTGATTGAATAAACAACACTCTTGGTTCCAGCTAGTGTGGGTGTTTTTTTGTTTGCTTGTTTTTTGTTTTTGAGGTTATATACTCACACTAAAAACAAAACCCCCCCCACTGTCATCGTCAGTCCCCACTCACAGAAACCCGGGACAACGCTTCTGAGGCTGTAACACTTCAGGGGAGCAGATAGCCTCCTATTTCTCCCTTCGGCAGCTGGAAGGCTCGAATCACAGAACTTGTGGTTAGCAGTCCGGCACTTACCTGACAGTGCCACCAGGGCTCCTATACGCACATTAATCTTACTCATATAACTAAAGATCAGGAATTGTGGCGTTTACTTTAATGAGGAAGCTACTTTATAAACTGGGAGGTTTGATTTCTTTCTTTTTTTTTTTTTTTAATGATTTTATTGGGGGCTCTGAACATCTCAACACAATCCATACATTTGCACATATGCCACTATCATCATTTTAAAAGCATTCTCATTTGAGCCCCTGATATCAGCTCCCTATTTCTTCCCCCTTCATCCCTCCCCCGCCCGCCCGCCCTCACAAACCCTTGACAAGTTATAGGTTATTTTTTTCCATGCCTTACATCGTCTTCTGTCACCCCTCACCCACTTTTGTTATTCGCCCCCCTGGGAGGAGGTTCTAGGTTGATCCTTGTGATGCATCCCCCCTTTCACCTCCCCACCCTCCTCTAATCCTCCTGGCATCTCTACTCTCCTTGTTGACCCTGAGGGGTTTATCTGTCCTGGATTCCCCGTGTTTCCAGGTCTTAGTAAGGTCATGATAGTGGGGAGAAGGAAGCACCAAAGAGCTAGAGGAAAGTTGTGTGTTTCTTTGGTGCTATACTGCACCCTGACTGCCTCGTCTCTTCCCTATGACCCTTCTGTGAGGGGATGTACAATTGTAGACAGATGGGCATTGGGTCTCCACTCCATGCCCCCTGCCCCATTCACCTTGGGTATGGTTTTATTCTGGGTCTTAGATGCCTGATAAGCTGATCCCATCGACACCTCATGATCACACAGACTGGTGTGCTTTTTCTATGTGGGCTTTGTTGCTTCTCAGCTAAATGGCCGCTTGTTTATCT